AAAAAGGGGGCCTACTAAGGGCTGTATAATTGAGTGTGAAGCAGATAAGTATTACAAACTGAAAATGAATTCACTTGCTTCTCATTAAGGTGATAATCCTGACAAGTGTCCTTCCTCCTCTACAGATTAAAATCATATTAAGTTACAAGTCTGGATGCTTCCTTATCACTACCATCTTTCTAATGCCTCTCTTCTTCCTTCAAGGCACTTTATCGTAGAGTGTTATCTCCCCTGCAGTGCTGTAATGCAATGAAGTTCTCCAGTTCTCCAGTTTCACTCACCAGACCTCTATTCCTCTGTGACTCAGGTGTCTTAGTGGACATCAGCCAACAAGACTGTCTTACGAAGCATTATTTGCTCCTAAAGGCAAGACAGGCACAGACTGGACAATGTCATAGTGTACTAGGCAACAATGTAGAATATGTGCAGTGAATGTGCAAAATATTAGGGACGGTCAGTCGTCTCACGAAGCACATCGATGTTGAAACTCCAGATCACAATATATCAAGTGTTACAAGTTTTATTTGATTGTCTGTTATGTGTGTTTTGGACATAAAATCAAAACTAGCTGAGCTTTTGCAGATTATTATGAGGTTAACCATTATCAAGGACCATAAAGTAGCATTTTAACAATCCAACATGATAAACAAAACTTGCTGCTGGGACTCTTATCTATTTTTCCTGATCCTCTTCTTTTTAATGTCAGCATATTTCCTGGTCCCAGCTTTCTTTCCCTTAAGTCCTCAATTTTAGGGCCTGCTTTAATGTCTGTCAACGGTCCATGGCCAGAGAAGCAGTTTGGCTTCAATTCTGGTCTTGGTTTTATCTGAGGTTGCAAACAAAACAGTGTTATCAGCAGTTCCTTTGTGGCGTCCGTTCCTTCTGTGATAACCTGAATCCACGTAGTGGACATAGGGGATCAAGGACATGTGCACAATTAATTCCATGTACATTTGCATATATCTACAATGTATTAAATTTAATGATGAATGAAAATGTTCCACTGATTGGCTCAAACAACTTAGAAGCATTTAAATGATGCAGAATATTTGAATAAATACTGTATGTCCTGCTAATTAGACAATGGCATACTAAATTTAAATGCTATCAAGGGGTAATATACAAGCTTGTAGATTATTTCACTTACAGCTAAGACCAGTTTTACACTTTATGCATTTAATAATCCCCCCCAAAATTCACATTGAAAGCGTGCATTACATTTTCAGATGCTGTTAAACCTTTAGAGATGTAACAGTCTAAAACGCTGCAGAAATACCTACAGGTCTAACATGATTGTCATCTGTGGATGCCTCAGAGGGATGTAGGCTTCAAATGATGTTGACAGACTCATAAGATTTGGAGGATTTCTTTAGAGGCCAAGGAGCAAATTCTTTGTAAACACAACCATAACTGTCTTTTTCTTTTCCAGCTAAATGCAATATAAGTGAGATTTGCAGGGCCTGGAGACAGACTCATCTCCTCTCCTCGATCTACAGCTTTAGCATTTAGTTTTATCTTTATAGATCTATCTCCCCGAATTGCATTTCAAAGTTCAAGACAAAAAATAATAGAACAGACAAATGTTCTTCTGATCCTTCCCTACAGGCTGTAGCTCTAGCTCTGTTTTTACACTATTCTCAAAAGTAAAAACATAATTACAATAAAAGCAAATACCGGAAATTTAAACGCATTAGAGGAGATTTGATTTCACACAGCTCCAATTGCCAAAAAGCAAAATGAATCAAGGTGACACACATGGAAGAGATTCATTTTATTGTTTTTACCATGTAATTGTAACATTTTCACATGATACGGCTCTTTTGTTTCTGCACTGACAAAGCACATCAGGTGGCTCTTAACTCTGATTTGTTTTAGATTTCACATTTAAAAATCGGGCCATACAACGGACAAGATGACACAATAATCACACTTGCTGATTATTCAGTGACCAACATTTGTACCAGAAAGAAAGCACAGAAACAGTATTACTTTTAGCTGCAATATTAGTACACTGGAGCAACATGGGCTTCAAAACAGAATATTTGTGTATCACAAGTAGACTTACTTTTGGCAGTGTTCTAGGTGAAACACTATTTGATATTTCAAAATGTTTCCCTTTTACTTTAAAAGGTTAATGCATTTTTATTTAAATTAGCATTCTGTGTTTACATTTTTTGCATGCAACATTGGGAAAGAAAAACTCCCTTTTAACAGGAAGAAACCTCCAGGAGAAGCAGCACAGGGATGCAATTGATACACATCAGTTAATCAATAATTATGCTATAATATGTTTATGATTCTGAAAAGTACAATTCTCCATCCTGAGTATGTTTATTTGAGATAATATAAATACTGAATAGATTTTATATTTATATGATTTTTTACAACTTGCACACTATTAAACTACTTAAATAGAATTTTGTCTTCTAGAAAGTAAAAAAAAAAATGGAATACTTTTTTTCCACTTAGCAAAACGTGCCTAAAGTCTGGCCACTTTACACATAATAAGTCTAGCAAAGTTGTTCTTTGCCAATTTTCTACTCTGATTTTATTTCTAATTAAATATTGTAATTATCTTTAAACAGCAATGTCAAACTCATTTTGGACCACAGGCCACAAACATCTCACTTTGACCTTAGGTGTGCCAAACCAGTCAGTCTGTCAGTGTAAAGCAGTTTAATAAAAGAATAAATTAGCCCTTTATTATCAACAGTTCATTTCTCTTTTTCTACATGATAAAGAAATGCTGCTGTCGTAAATGGAAGAGATGTCAGCATGAATTTTAAATTGTAAGAAACAGACATGTTAAATTAAAGAAAAAGTTAAGGAAACTAATTTCCTATAATGTCCTGACATAACAAAACTTATTAATTTACAGAAAATTCACTTTTTTTCTTTACTAGTGACCCTCTATAAAAAATTAGAAATTTCTACGACCGATAGTGAAAAAAAACAGGAATGTTTCCGTCATTTAAATATGTATCTATTACTTACTGTAGTCTAGTATGAATGACCACAGGGTATGTCTTTATCAGGAGGAAAGACCATGAAAGAAAAACTGACAATGCAATGAGAAGTCCAACGTCTTTACATTTTCCTGTGGGCCGGTTTGGAGTCTTTGGCGGCTGAATCTGAATCGTATTTTTTGACAGCCATGTCAAAAAATGTAGCACTTATTTGAACATAGGAGTTATATAGTTGGTATATCAAAATAAATGAGAGGTTCTTATTTTTTGTTGCATGCCAAGTGGAGCAATTCCACCCCAGTGCTGAGTTGTTGAAGTCAATTCTGGCCCATTTTGCTATAATTTCGACCTTTATGGCAGGTGGATTGTGCGCAGAGTATGGCCCGATCCATTTTTCTGTATCACATTAACAAGTTCCACTGTGGAAATGCACTTTATTCATATCATATGTCCCTGATTTTGCTTGGCCTCACTGTGGGAATAATGACCCCTCCTCTTTGGTACACCATCATTAAGCAGATGTTTTACAAAGAAAATCACCACACTCTCAGTTACTTAAGCTCAAGTCCATATGTGGTCCATGAAGGAATTAAACACGCAAACCGCTACACTGGCCTGTGGGAACTGTGTGTGTGTGTACGCGCGTGTCTGTATTCCCTGGGGCCTGCACTGTGTGTGCTGGGTCAGAGGAGGCCAAGGCTTTAATAAAGGAACACGCCTCGTACAGAGATACCAGTCTAACTGCCTGGGGACATGCAACCTGATGGGGTCCAGATGAAAGTCACCAGACTGAACTTCTTCCTTCAAAAACAGCCAATTGGTGTAGGGATTACATAGAACTGCCTTCTTCCTCAAGCCTGTGCTTGGGTTTACTCTGGGATTTGAGGGCTAAGCAACTAGATTAGAGAAACATTCTCTTTTAATGATAGCTTTTGATAGATCACAGGAAAATGTGTTACTTCACGTTCCAAGCAGATAACTTGCTAACATTTGCCGGGCTCATACGGGAGGCCTTGTTTTCCCCTTGGTCATCAAATGTAAATATTTCATGTGTTCCTGGCTGTTGTGTTGAAGGGGGTGTCTGGTAACCCACAAGATGAGGTTGCTGTTTCCTGCTTTGCAGTGATCCATAGATATTTGTCGTGTTATCTCCCCGGTCATGAACAGGACTTACATCATCCTCCTGTGCTGAGTGTCAGTTTCAGCAGGGCAGAGGAATTTATTTACAGGTCAGTCACTGGATCAACTGATCCACACAGAGATGTCTTGTGACTTTTGCAGGGTAATATGGGGTGACAGTGCATTTTATTAACTATACTTTTCACCACACCGAGGAATTTAATGGCAAACAATATTACCATACTGTTATATAAACATATAACCTTATATATAACCTGTAAACCTTAGCA